ACATTCAGTTGGATCACTTTTCTTGGGAGTAGGCATAAATATGGATCTCTTCCAGTCAGTTGGCCAGGTAGCTGTCTTCCAGATTTCTTAGCATAGACGAGTGAGCACTTCCAGCGCCGCATCCATTTGTTGAAACATCTCAGTTGATACTCCGTCAATTCCTGGAGCCTTGTTTTTCTCCAGTGCCTTCAGTGCAGCTTGGACTTCTTCCTTTAGTACTGTCAGTTCCTGATCATATACTACCTCCTGAAATGGTTGAACATCAACCAGTTCTTTTTGGTATAATGACTCTGTGTATTCCTTCCATCTTCTTTTGATGCTTCCTGCATCGTTTAATATTTTCCCCATAGAATCCTTCACTATTGCAACTTGAGGCTTGAATTTTTTCTTCAGTTCTTTCAGCTTGAGAAATGCCGAGTGTGTTCTTCTCTTTTGGTTTTCTATCTCCAGCTGTTTGTATGTGTTGTTATAATACTTTACTTTGTCTTCTTGAGCTGCCCTTTGAAATCTTCTGTTCGGTTCTTTTACTTCATCATTTTAGCTACTCGACATTCAAGAGCAAGTTTCAGAGTCTCTTCTGACATCCATTTTGGTCTTTTATTTCTTTCCTGTCTTTTTGATGACCTTTTGCTTTCTTCACGTATGATGTCCTTGATGTCATTCCACAACTCATCTGGTCTTCAATCATTAGTATTCAATGCGTCAAATCTATTCTTGAGATGGTCTCTAAATTTAGGTGGAATATTCTCAAGGTCATACTTTGGCTCTCATGGACTTATTCTAATTTTCTTCCATTTCAACTTGAACTTCTTCCTAGTCTGTCTTAGTCTGGAAGCTCAGCTGAAACCTGTCCGCCATGGGTGACCCTGCTGGTACCTGAATACCGGTGGCATAGTTCCAGCATGACAGCCAACATGGAAGCCCCCACAGTATGACAAACTGACAGACACGTGGGGGCTTTATGAACTATGTTATGCCAATTGACCTAGATGTCCCCCGAGACCATGATCCCCAGCCCTCAGCCCTAGTAACTCAAGGTGTTTGGATGTGTCTAGGAAGCTTCTGTTGCTTTGACTTGGTCGAGTTGTGCTGACTTCCCCTACATTGTGCACTGTCTTTCCCTTTACCAAAGTTAAAACTTGTCTGCTATTTAGTTGGTGATGGACTTTGGGCCCTTATCGAAGATCAGGTAGCTGTAGGTGGATGGATTTACATCTGAGTTCACAGTTCTGTTCCATTGGTCAATGTGTCTGTCATTGTACCGGTACCAGGCTGTTTTGACTACCATAGCTGTATAGGAGGTTCTGAGGTCAGGTAGTGCAAGGTCTCCTACTTTAATACTTCTTCTTCAATAGTGCTTTACTTATTCGGGGTCTCTTCCCTTTCCATATAAAGTTAATGATTAGTTTTTCCATCTCTTTAAAGAATGCTGTTGGTATTTGGATTGGGATTGCATTGTGTTTGTAGACTGCTTTGGGTAGGATTGACATTTTCACAATGTTGAGTCTTCCTATCCATAAGCATGGTATGTTTTTGTAGGTCTCTTTTGGTTTCTTGCAGTAGTGTTTTGTAGTTTTCTTTGTATGGGTCTTTTACATCCCTGGTTAGATTTATTCCTAGATTTTTTTTTTTTTTTTTAGAGACTATTATAAATGGTATTGTTTTCCTGGTTTCCTTTTTATAGTTATCTTCACTGGTGTATAGGAATCTAGCCGATTTTTGTATGTTTATCTTGTAGCCTGCTACTCTGCTGCATCTTTCTATTAGTTCCAGTAGTTTTCTTGTGGAGTCTTTTGGGTTTTCTATGTATAGTGTTGTATCATCCAGAAGTAGGGACAGTTTTACTTCTTCCTTACCAATTTATGCCCTTTATTTCTTTTTCTTGCCTTGTTGCTCTAGCTAGGACTTTTTAAAAGTCTAAATTTAGTTGGTACCATTACCCTCCCCTCAAGTAAATCAAGAATTTTAAAATGCTTTAATTCCAGATACCTCCTCCCATCTTATTTATAATTGTTTTTCTGTATTTTAAATCTATCTTGTTTTTTTAAGCCTCAAGACATTATTATTATATTTTGAAATTGATATTCATTTAGATTTATCCACTGGTGTGCTGCTAAACTGGATCTCCAGGGAGAGAAAAACCCTGATTTGTAGCATTTGCCAACTCCCAGGGCATAAATACCCCCACTATGGCAAATTTCAAGTTAACAACAGTCTAACAACCAGCTTGCAAAATTTAGCAAGCCAGTGAGGGACAGCTCCAGCACACCATTCTGTATGCATGCTTGTGTGTGTGTGTTTGTATATGTATTTGTGTGTGTGTGTGTGTGTGTGTGTGTATTGCTCTTTATTGGGGGCATCAATGCTGAAGTTCAAGTTTACTGAATTTGGAACCTACCTTGAGATTTGGGTCTGTGTTCCATTTACCTCTCTGAGTTCTTACTTATCCTCAGACTTTGGCTTGGTATTTCCTTTCTATCTTGTCAGGTCTTCTGTGCTTTTAAGAAAATTTAAAAATATATTTTTCCAGTATTTAAATTTTTGTTCAGTGGGAGGGTTGTTCAAATAACCTACCCACAGTATTCCCAGAAATGGAAAACCAGTCTTTTTTCCCCTATGCAGAGTTTTTTCTCCCTTCGTATGTAGAAATATATATGATACACACACACACTTAATATTGTACCCTTTATATTTTTCTTTACAGTATAACGAATACATTTCCATGTTACTTTGAACTTGTAAGCTTAATTTTGAATGACTACAAAACATTCTGTTGTTTACTTACCTTTTCTCTTGTTACTGGAGTCCCTGGGTGGTGCAAACAGTTAAACACTCGGCTGCTAACTGAAAGGCTGGAGGTTTTTGAATCCACCCAGAGGCTCCTCAGAAGAAAGGCCTGGTGATCTACTTCCCAAAAATCAGCCATTGAAAACCACATGGAGCATAGTTCTACTCTGCACACATATGGTTGCCCTGAGTCGGAAGGACTTGACGGTGGCTGGTTTGGTGTCATTGGTTTTCTATTGTTGCCATTCAGATTGTTTCCATTTTTCACCATAATGAATTACGCTGCATTGAATAGCCTTATGCAAAAAGCTTTCATTGTAGTTAAGATTACTCCTTTAGTATAGACCTTCCAAAATGGAGTTCCTGGATCAAAAGGTCTTAATGCATGTTAGTTTCTAAGGGGGCTATGCCAGTTTCCCAGCAGTATTTCAGGGTGCCTGTTTCTCTTAAGATAAGAAGGAGCCTTCTTTAAAGGTCATAGACTCATATGGTCGTACATTTCAGAGGTACCACAGGTGACACAGTGATAAGTCTCTCTCCCACCCTGTCCCTGTAGCAGCCACCACGCCGTTCCCCAAAGTCAGCTCACTGTTGCTAGGCGCTGCTTATGGATCCCTTCGGAGCTACCCTTTGACTGAGCAAATATGTACATATGTTTATGACAAATGGCGGCATAACAAATACACTGTCCTGCACTTTGCTTTTACCACTAAACCATAAATCGTGGTGACATATGTTTGTTTTGTGACTAATGGCAGCATACCAAGCACACTTTCCTGAACTTTGCTTTTTCCACTTAGCCATAAATCGTGGCACCCAATCCACGTCAGTACATAAAGAGCCTCCCCAGTCATTTTACAGCAACGCAGAGCCCCATCGTGCAGGTGAACTGCAGTGTGGTTAACTGTCCTTTGCTTTTACACACTGCCGTTGGTAGCCTTGTGCAAGCCAGCCTCACCAGCGTTTGAGAGCCTCGTAGGATGAGTCCCCAGAAGTGAGATTGCTAGGTGGAAGGATAAGCCCATTGGCGGTTTGGACCAGCCTTGCCGAACGGCCCTCCCAAGGTTGTACCCAGCATTGTAGGGAAGATTCTGTTTGGGGGAGGATGGGTGGATTTTGATCAGAGGGGAAGAAGCCCACCAATTCAAAACAGGGGAAGCCCAGGGGCCTGTGGAGTGCCGACTCTGCTGTCCAGGGCCCAGGGGTGAGTGCCAGATTAGGAGAAAAGGGGGTGAGGGAGGACGGGTGACTTCAGCTGTCCTGCTCCTTCCTGGTTTCCCTCCAGGGTGATGCTGACAGGGACCCTGTCTGACCGGCAGCCGGCTGAACTCCACCTCTTCCGGAATTACGATGCCCCGGATACTGTACGGGAACCTCGGTTCAGCCAGAATACTAACCTAAGGCCTCCAGCTCAGCCCTCAGGTTAAAACCATGTTTGGTGCACCTGTGAGAAGTCAGTTGGCCCAGAGAGGCTGAGGGGTGGTGGGTGGGAGTCCTAGGCTTGCCAACGGGCACCCCCATCCCACCACTATCCACCCACTGTACCAGGTCTCACTCCCCAGCCTTTACCTGCTGAGGGCAGACAGAGCTGGGGAGACACCAGGCCTCAGGCAGGCTAGCGGAGGCCCCTGTCTGAAGGAGGCCACTGGAGGTCCCCAGCTGCACCCTGCCTCCCACCAGGACGCAGGACCAGACAGCAAGCATGGCCTTGTCAGTCCTTTTCCTGTGGAGCTTCCAGCCTCCACTTTTCCCACAGCCCCACGTGCCCACACATGCGCGTGCATGTGTGCTCACACACATGCACGCTCACACCCTGATGTCTGAGGTGGGCTGGGTTTATACCAGCCCCTTGTGCCACTGGGCCACCCTCTCCCGCCCCCCGCCCCCAGAACAGCTGGTGTGGAGGGCAGCCCGCAGCAGTGGGGCAGCCCCCACCTACTTCCGGCCCAATGGGCGCTTCCTGGATGGCGGGCTGCTGGCCAACAACCCCACGCTGGACGCCATGACTGAGATACACGAGTACAACCAGGACATGATTCGCAAGGTGAGAGCCACCTCAGGTCGGAGAAGAGGGACATGACCGCACACTACAGCCCCCGTTTCAGCAAAGCTCCCTGAGGATCGACTCCCAGGAGAGCAGATGGCTTGTATTCATGCGTCATCTGCCAGTGCACTCCACAGCAATTTTATCTCACACATGAACCTATTTGATGGCTGGCATCTGCACTGTGCTGAGAATTCCGAGGCCCAATCTAGACCAAGTGGTGAAGAGGGTCATGATCAGTTAACAGCATCTGCTGTTGGGAGAAGGGCAGGGGAAAGCCTGCATATCATGTACATGCCAGTCCCAGCCACTGTGCCCAGCCCTGGGGACACATGCTTGCCCTGGAAGCACTTACATCCAGTAGGGAGACAGCCTGTAAGCAGGGACGTGCCCCTTTAAAGGGTCTTAGATGCTGTGATAGAGATCAGTGGAGGGACCTGGGAGGGGGATCACCTTTGCTTAGAGGCCTAGGGGCTTGGAAAAGGCTCCATGGAGGAGAGGACCACATCCTGAGGTCTTTGGGGGTGGAGCAGTGCAGAGCAATGATCCAGAGGAAGAGAAGCAGCTGTCACCCTCAGGAGCTAGAGCAGCCAGACCCACACATGCTGAAAGAGGCAGTGTGGAGCAGCGGGGCCAGCGTGGGCTCGAGCCGGACAGGCTCTGGATTTGGGTCCTGGCTCTACCCATACTTCACTGGATAATAGTACGGCCAAGCCTTGCGAGCTGGAACTCGACGAGACTGCCTTGTTTTTCCAAGTCTCGCAAGTTTTCTGCCTTGGACAGGGTGCAGTCTTACCACTTTCCTCCCGCTCTATATTAGTGGAAGATATTTGAGTTTTTCTTCTCTGACAGGTTTCCTCCTTACGTGGGTTCCAGCTTTCACAGGTTTTACTGTACCCACCAAGGAGCCCTGTTGGTGCAATGGTTAAGTGCTTGGCTGCGAACTGAAAGGTTGGTGGTTTGAACCCACCCAGCAGCTCCATGGGAGAAAGACCTGGCAATCTGCTCCCATAAAGATTATCGCCTAGAAAACCCTATGGGGAGTTCCACTCTGTAACACATGGGATCCTACAAGTTGAAAACTGACTCAACGGCACCCAACAAAAACAACACATGCAGGAGTGTTGTGAGGACTCAATTCGCTCTAGTTTGTAAAATGACCTGGAGTGTGCAGTCTCCTTGCTGACTGTAGTTATCTGTCAGAGGGGGAGCGCCCTCTAGGGGCCAGACAGGGCAGGGCAGACTACCTGAAAGAAATTCAAATGGGAAGGGTCCTCAGCCGTCATCCAGCCCACGTTGTTTCTATTATGGTTGAGGAGCTCTGGACCCAGAGTGGGAGTGACTCGCTTGAGATCACCCAGCAAACTGGCAGCAGAGCTTGTTCTGGAGCGAAGGAGAGCTCCCCACCCCCTGACAGTGTGGCCTGGACAAGCCTCATACCCCGGCTAGCTTTGCTGAGAGTCCTCATTTGTGAAATGGGGCAATCAGTGCCCCCTCCACAGACTGGTGGGAGGAATAAGTGAGATAGTGATGTAAACGCCTGGTGAGTACCGGAAACCTTCCCTGGCCACGAGCTTGACCTTACATCAGGCAGGAGCCAGCCCTTGAAAGAGAGTACCCCGTGCTAGTGTGTTTTTACAGTTGTGACCCCGTGTGTGTCAGAGTAGAACTGTGCCCCATAGGGTTTTCAATGGCTGATTTTTCAGTAGATCGCCAGGCCTGCCTTCTGAGGTGCCTCTGGGTAGACTGGAACCTCCAACCTTTCAGTTAGCAGGGAGCACATTAACCGTCTCCACCACCCAGGGCCTCCTGCTCATGCACACAGGGCCTTTGTTGGTCCACAGGGCACTTTTCATCAGCATAACGGCCTGTGATGCACACACCAGCCCTTGTGCTGGGAGGAAGCTACAGCTCAGAGGCCAGGGGCAGTGTCCCGGTCACAAGGGGCAGGCCAGGGTGAGCCCCAGGCTGCATCCTTACCCTGGAGGGCTGCTGCTGGCTCCTCATGCTCCCTCCAGAGCCCGCAGCCTCTCTCTGACTCTCCCTGAGGCGGGAAGCTCTCTGCTGACTACCCCCATCCTGTTCACAACAGGGTCAGGGCCACAAGGTGAAGAAACTCGCCATTGTCGTCTCCCTGGGGACAGGGAGGTCCCCACAGGTGCCCGTGACATGCGTGGACGTCTTCCGTCCCAGCAACCCCTGGGAACTGGCCAAGACTGTTTTTGGGGCCAAGGAACTGGGCAAGATGGTGGTGGACTGTGTGAGTAGGGCCCCTTCCCCTGGGGTCTCCAGCCCCGTCTGATGCCTTCACCTTCTTCCTGTGGGAGGGGCAGGGCGTTGTGAGCCTGTTTATCCAGCTGCAGGGAGATAGGCCCAATTCATAGTCTCCATGCCAGGCAGGAGCCTCACCCAGAGCCGCGCTTCTCAAACACTCCTTAGCTGTGGGGGAAGCGGACAAGGGGGCCCGGCCACTCAGCCGATGCCCCCACCCCTCATGCCCTCAACAGGCTCAGCCAAACCAAATGTGGAACCCATAGATGGTGGACAGTGGGGACAGCAGCCCCAAGAGGGGCACCTGCCCAGTGTCCACTGCTGATGGGTGGCTAGGTGCGACTAGAACCAGGGGTTGTGATTTCAGGGCAGGGCTTCCCCACCGTCCTGGGTGGGGCCTCTGGGGGAGGGCCACATGCAGGGTGGGTAAGGGTGCTCACCAGGCTTCTTCCTGCCAGTGCACGGATCCGGACGGGCGGGCCGTGGACCGGGCCCGGGCGTGGTGTGAGATGGTCGGCATCCAGTACTTCAGGTGAGGCTCAGCCTCATGCCCTGGCCTGGCCCGACCCGTCCACCTACCCAGCCCTCAGCACGGCCTTTCCCTTTCCCCAAGGGGCTGCTCTGTTCACCGTGCTCACCCAGGCTCAGCTCTTGTCCCCCACCCAGGCTGAGCGTCCTGGGGTGACCCCTCCTCCTTGGCCCAGACAGATTGAACCCCCAACTGGGGACAGACATCATGCTGGATGAGGTCAGCGACATGGTGCTGGTCAACGCCCTCTGGGAGACCGAGGTCTACATCTACGAACACCGGGACCAGTTCCAGAAGCTCATCCAGCTGCTGCTTGAGCCCTGAGGCTGCCAGGCCCAACACCCCCACCACACCCCACCCCTCCCCACCCCACCTCACCCCACCGGGGAGGCCTGGAGAGGCCCAGATCTCAGAGCACTGGGCAGAGCTGGCCCCTCGGCTGTGCCTGGCGCAGGCCTGGGCCCAGGGGGCACCAAGCTTCCTGCCTGAGGCTGGTCCTCAGGGCCTCTTTCCCCGTTCTGTTCTCACCTGGCATTTTTTAATTCCAGGCTTAAAAAGCTAGAGCCTCACCTGGCCCCTTTTCCTGACGTAAAGGGGCCTCTGACAACCGACCAACAGGACCCCTCACCCTGTCAGCTGAAACACTACAGGTGCCCGTGTGCCTGCCCTGACCCCAGCCCTGGCCTCCCACAGGGCTCTGGAAGGCCACCCCAGCCTCTCAGCGGCCCCTCTGGGTTCCTTGGTGGGCAAGGCTTGCCCGTTCCGCCAGATAACCCTTTTCCCTAGGGGTAAGGGCTAGAGAAAGGGGGTGTCCCCTACCGCTTTAGCCAGGGAAACCCCAGGCTTCAGGAGCGGGAGGCCCGATTTGACTTTGCCCCTCAACACGCCCGCCATCCACACCAAGCCACCCCACCTTAACTCTCTTGGCTCTCAAAGGTCACTCGTGGGGATCCAGTTCTTCCTAACAAGGAAGTGGTTTAAGGGTGTGCCTGGGGCTGCACTGGAGAGGGGCTCACGGGACCACCCCAAAACTGAAATAAACTGGATTCAAGTTGGCCTGTGTTGTGTTCATTGTGGTATGATGCAGCCCCCCACCCCCCACGCAGCCTTGACCTTCACCCTTGACCTGTCGTCTTTCTGTGCCCACTCGGAGCCTCTACTTCCATGCTCCCTGGAGTAGGGTCACCATCTTACCCCTCCTTCTCAGAGAAGGAAATGAGGGCTAACACTCTGATCCCCTTTCCCAGAACAAGCCTGAGAGGTGCCCAGAAGGCAGGCTCACCTGCCCCAGAGCAGGCCCATGTCGGGTGGGGCCTCGATCCTCACTGTCGTGTGCAAGGTGAGGGAGCGAGGGAGCACCCCATTTGACAGCAGAGGGTATTGAGACCCAGAGAGGGCACGGGCCTTGGCACGGCAGGTCTGTGTACCTTGGAGTGTGTGCTGCCTCTTCTCCGGCAGGATGTGTGCAGAGGAGCTGCAGCGGGCGCTGCCTCGGCCTCCCGAGGCCCAGGCCTGATGGGGACCAATGGAGGGAAGAAGTCTGAGAACAGTGCCCACCGGTGGGTCTGTTCAGCCTCCAGGGGTCGACCCCCTGGGTCTGTCAGGAAGGGGTTAGAGCAGCTCTAACTCAATAGGGTGGACAATGCCCGAGACAGGCCCCATCTTGGCAGGCAGGCGGGAGGGCAGGGTCCCCGCAGAGCCAAGAGGTCCCCAGCTGGCTGGGAAGCCTCACCCTTGAGAAGGACTCAGGAGAATAGCCCTGGCCACACGTCCCCCCAGCTATGGCTCAGAGGGGTGAATAATTGAAGGATCAGGTCACACGAAGCCACCCCCGTCACAGAATGCCTTTCCCCACCGTGTCGGGTTACGCCCCAGATCACATTCTGACATCCCTGGCTGGTGAATAATTAAGCTGCCACCTCCTCCTCAAGGCCCACAATCCCCAGGGCCCAGTCTGCACCCTCCCTCGCTGCCCGCTGAGCAGTGGGCACCAGCAGACACCACCCCAGCGCTCCAGCTCTGCCAGCGCCCGTGCGCCCACTCCATGGCCCCCGAGATGGACCAGTTCTACAGGTCAACCATCGCCATCTACAAGGTGAGCACGTGTCCTGGACACAGAGGTCAGGCCACTCTGGAGGACGGTGAGCGTGGTCTGGCCTGAGCTGTGGCCACAGGGGTGGGATCCTTTGGAGCAGTTGGCCATGCCAGTCTGGGCTTCAGGGCAGGGTTTGTCCACAGTCACCCAGAGTGGGAGGCCAGCCAAGATGGCACTCAGTGGAGCCCCACCACCACCTTCCAAGCACTGGACAAGGCAGGACGGGGCCTAGGGTGGCTAGAGCTGGGAGCAGGGGCCTCAGTAGCTGAGCCTAAGGGGTGGGAACCCAGACCTGAGACCCAGAGAGCCCGAGGGAAAGGAGCCGGCGCCTGGCCTGGAGGTGGGAGATCTCTTTTGTTTCTGAGCCCCTCACTCAGACTCCCTGCTCCTCCCAGAGGTATGCAGACTCCATAGACATTTATTGAGCACCTCCTGTATGCAGGCCCCTTTCACCTATAGGCCTCACGGCACCTTACCTGTGGGGTAGAAAGTAATCACCCCATTTGATAGATAAGGACACAGATAGAGGTGAGGTTTGATAAGCCCAGAAGTGAATCAGGTTGTTCAAGGTCACGAAGGAAGAGGAGCTGCTGGGATTTGAACCAAGACCAAGTTTAAGTCCAAGTTCAGGGCTGTCTTCACCACCCCACGTGGGCACCAGCTGGCCATGGTCTAGGGCGGCCACAGGGATCCAGCCACTGCCTCTCTCCCAGTGTGTTTTGCATTGAGGAGGGTGAGGTCTGCCCCTGGCCCTGCACGGCTGTCAGCAGCCCGTGTGTCCAGCCCAGGGAGGCCTGGACTCAGGACCTCAGCAGACAGGCAGGTTTAGCTCAGGGAGTAGAGCGAGCCCCTCTGAGGGGCACTGTTGCAGAGACCGAGGTCTGCTGGGGCAGGTGGGCAAGCAGAACCCTGGCTTAGAACCAAAACCTGCTGCCGTCGAGTCGATTCCGACTCATAGCGACCCTATAGGACAGAGTACAACTGTCCCGTAGGGTTTCCAAAGAGCAGCTGGTGGATTTGAACTGCTAACCCTTTGGTTAGCAGCCGAGCTCTTAACCATTGTGCCACCAGGGCTTCTCGCTTGGAACAGGGCTCCCAAAATATGGCCTCTAAGGCCCCTGCTGGCCAAGAGCAGGGGTTCTGGGTGACCTCAGGTTTCTGGGTGGCCCCCCAGAGTCTGGAGGCTTCTCACTGGCCTGGGAGTGTCTGCTCTGAGGCCCGACAACTTGCCTCAGCTCATCATTCTTCTCCCCAATCTCACCCCTTCACCCTTGCCCTCCGGATCCAGAGCATCATGGAGCAGTTTAACCCTGCCCTGGAGAACCTGGTGTACCTGGGGAATAACTACCTCCGGGCTTTCCATGGTGAGTGGCCAGCCACAGGGCGCCTAGCCCCGCCCTCTACCACCCCCACCCTCTCTAGGCCCCTCCATGTAGCACAGACCCACACCCACCCCATATTCTCTGCACCCCACACTAGATAGCTGTCCACAAGACACATGGCTCCTCCTTACCCCTACATTCTCCTACCCACCACCCTCACCCTGGCAGTCAGGGACCCCTGCACATCCCATACCCTCACCTTCCTGTGCCCACACATCTTATACCCATCCCACCCAGCCCACACCCCCACACCCCTTACCTACCCCTGCTTACTCAGGTGCCCCCAAATTCTCCCTGAGATATAGGGCCAGGCCTGGCAGGGCCCACACAACCCAGCACCCCCCAACAGCTACACATATTTTTCTATGTCACTAGAAGCTACCTGGTGACCCCACCACCAGACTAGTTCCACCACTGAATCCTAGCCTTACACCCACAACTGTTTTTGCATAACTCCTAAGCCAGCTCACCACTCACTTGGTCCCAAGCAAACAGCGAGCCTTCACCCACCCCGGGGTGGCCCCCATGTTTCCCAACACCACCCACTCTGCCAGCACTAATCAACAGAGTCGGGGGCCCTCTGTGGGATGGATGGCACAGTGGAGGCCCAACCACACAACGCTGAGCACCACGCCGTCCCACCCTGCCTGCTCTCCTCCACACCCGCACCCAGCTCCCAGCCCTCACCCCACCCCCTGCCCCTGCACCTCGAGCCTTGCAGCACAGCTGCCACACCCTCCTGATGGGCACACACAGGGACATCTGCACCTGTGCCTGGCACAGGCAAGCACCCATGCCGGGAGCAGCTGTCCCACAGGGCGCCCCATTCCACACCCCTTGCTCCTCCTCCCAGTGCCATGTCTCTGCACACACCCAACTCCACGCCCCCCTCATGGGCACATAGCCAGATCCCACGGTGCACCCCTCCACACTCCTCTCTCCTGACAAGGGTGGGGGTGGAGCAGAGGAGGGACGGGAACCGGACCCCGACCTTCTTGCCACAGCCCTGTGCGAGGCAGCAGAGGTGTACTTCAGTGCCATCCAGAAAATTGGGGAGCAGGCCTTGAAGAGCTCCACCTCGCAGATCCTGGGTGAGTGCAGCCCCTCCCGCTTCTTGGGGGACATTCCTCCTAGCCCATCCTCCACCTCCAGGTCACCTCCTGCTATCCAGGTGCTGGGGACCTCCGTCTGTCCCATCGATGCCTCCCCTCAAGCCTGCCTTTGCCCACCATCCTAGGGTTCAAGAGGAGGCCTCCTTTAACAGATGTGCCCTTCCAGAAAATTCCCCTAGACACAGACCTTGCACCCAGGTCCCCCAGCCCACACTCATTCCTACAGTCCAAGCCCCTCCCCCAACTCCCTGAAGCTTCCAGGGCTGGGACATGCAGCCCCAGAGCCCTGTGGGAGATCCCTAAAATCAGCCTCAGGCAGGCCCCTTGGGCAACTTCTGGTGGGAAGAAGGTGGGCAGAGCAGGCTCTCCCACACTGAAGCCACCCCCTCCATGCCTCAGGTGAGATCCTGGTGCAGATGTCTGACACCCAGCGGCACCTGAACTCTGACCTGGAAGTAGTGGTGAGTATTGGATCTCACGGCCTCAACGAGCGATGGCCCCATCTCCCAAATTCTCTCAGGGAGGACTTCCTGGCTCCCACCCGGCCCTGAGTGGCACGGGCACCTGCCAGGGCCAGGATCTGCTGGGCACGGCTACCTGTGTTATCTTGTTCAATCCTCACAGCAACCCTAGGAAGCAGCTGCCATGTCTATCTCCATTTTACAGAGGAGGAAACTGAGTCTCAGAGGTTTAAAGCTGGCCTTAGATCCCAGAGTGAGTGGAGGAGCTAGGGTAAGAAGGGACCGTGCCCAGGGGCGTCAGGCCCCAGCCCCCTTGCCTCCTCCTTGCCCCTCCCCACTCCCTTCTCCAAAGGAGCAACCACAGTGTGTGAGTAAAACCCTTCCACGTCCCTGCTGCCCACAGAATTGAACACAGTCTCCCCAGTGAGGAGTTCTGGGCCCTGCTGACCCAGCAGCCTCCCACCAGCACCCTCCAATCACAGCCCAGCCACCCCAAAGAGCTGGCCCTCCCCAGACCCAGCTTGGTGTCCCCACCACTGGGCCACTGTCCCGCTTCTCTCAGCCTAGAGCACTGGTCCTGCCCCTGCCATCCAGCACAGATGTACCCTCCTCCATGAAGCTCCTCTGATCTCTGACCTCTGGAAGATTCAGTCACTCCCTCTGGATGCCAGACAGAGGCTTCTTTCTGTACCTAGCACCTGGAGGTTAAGACAGCAAGCTCTGCAGCCAGAACACCTGGGCTCAAATCCCAGCTCCACCAGCTACCAGCTTTGTGACCTCGAACAAGTTACTTAACCTCTCTGTGCCTCAGTTTACTCGTGTAAAATAGTTGTTGTTGTTAGATGCCATCAAGTCGATCCCAACTCATGGCAACCCTATGTGTGTCAAAGTAGAGCTGTGCTCCATAGGGTTTTCAAGGCTGTGACCTTTTGAAAGCAGATTGCCAGGCTTTTGGCTAGTGAAAAACCAAAATCAAACCCATTGCTGTTGAGTCAATTCCAACTTATAGTGACCCTATAGGACAGAGTAGGACTGCCCCGTAGGGTTTCCAAGGAACACCTGGTTCCTTTTGATTTGAACTACTGACCTTTTGGTTAGCAGCCGAGCTCTTAACCACTGCGCCACCATTTTGTCTAGTTGTCAGTGCTTAATTAACCATTTGCACCACTGCCTTGTAGGATTCTTGTGAGGATGAAGTGTAACCTGCTCGCCGTAATCCCTGGCAGCTGGAAGCCCTCCATGTATCTCAGTTGTGATCATTAGAAATAGAATTTAGTTCCCTGTCTTCTATCCCTCCCCAGACTGGGGGCTCTGCAGGATGGGATGTGGTGGTCTTTTTCTCACTGTAGCTCAGGGCCTGGCATGGGTCTGGTACCGAGCAGGGCTTCACTGACGGTGGATGGAAAAACTGAGCTTTGAAAAGGGAATGGGTCTTGGCTAGATGGAGAGGAAGAGAGGGTGCTCAAGAGGGCTGAATGGGATGAGAAAGGCCCAAGGCAAGCAGGGGCGCGGCAGAAGGCAGAGTGGGAGAGGTGGGCCTGATGGTGAGGGGTCTTGGAAAGTTCAGAAGGAAATTTCAATCAATTGTGATAGTCCGTGGTTCTCAGATGTATGGGGGCAGGGAGCCCTGGAAACCAGAGTGAACTTTGTGGGGCACCATAAAATACTCACCAGTTTGGTTACCTTGTTGGAATGGGGAATGGTTTTCCAAGCAGAAAATGCAGGTGCATCATATCTCCACACGGTAAATCCACGCCCCTGGGCCTGTCTCCTCAGGCACTGTGAGGTGTTGCTAAGCCCATACACCTCTTGGGGCTGGCAAGGCTCACCATGGCAGCTTGTGCCTTCCTGTCTTTGTGCTTGATGTCTCTCTGTGTCATTTGTGGCACACCTGGGCTGGGCAAAGACGAGTCTCACCCAGACCTGCTCTGTAAAGAGAGCTATCCTCTCAGGGCACCAGTCTTGGCTGTGGCAGTCGGGCAGTGCCCTCAGCCAGAGCGGTACCAGGTAGAATAGTGCCAGAGGCTGCCTCCATCTTGGGCTCATTCATTCAACAACCATTTGCTGCCATGTGCCCCCGTTGTGTGCCAGGCACAGTTGTAGGCACGGGGGACACAGCAGACAAAATTCTTCTCAAAGAGGGGAGTCAGACCAAACCCAAGATAAATAAGTAAATATATATGCTACTGTCAGATGCAGAAAATGCTATGGAGAGAAGAAGAGCAGGGAAAGGGGATAGGAAGAGTTTGGGGAATGCAGCTTTTAATAGATGGCCAAGGAAAACCTCTCTAGAAAAGTGACATTGAAAACAGATCTGAAAGAGGTGAGAGAGTTAGCAGGGAGATATCTGGGGGAAGAGTGTTCTGGGCAGACGGAACAGTATATGGAGAGGCTCAGAGGGGGCCCGTCTGGTATTTTCAGAACATAGTGAGGAGGCCTATGTGGCTGGAGATAAGATCAGCAGTTAACAGGGGGAATTTGTTGAGACTCTGGCTTTTCTTCTGGAAAATGGAAGGGCTGCCATTATTAGAGGGCTTTGAGCAAAGGAGTGACAGGATCTGACTTAGGATGGGTTTTTTTCCTTCTTTTTCTTCTTCATCTTCTTTTTCCTTTTTAGACCTAGTCTTAGTCATCTAGAGCTGCTCTAACAGAAATACCACAAGTGGATGGCTTTAACAAAAAGAAGTTTATTCTCTCACAGTCCAGTAGGCTACAAGTCCAAATTCAGGGCCTCAGCTCCAGGAGAAGGCTTTCTCTCTCCGTCGGCCCTGGAGGAAGGTCCTTGTGATGTCAGTCTTCCTTTGGTCTGGAAGCATCTCAGGGCAGGAACTTCAAGTCCAAAGGACAAGCTCTGCTCCCAGCACTGCCCTCTTGGTGGTGTGAGGTTCCCACGTGTCTCTGCTTGCTTCTGTCTTTTATATCTCAAAAGAGATTGGCTTAAGACACTAATCTTGTAGACCTCATCACTATAACTGCCGCTAATCCATTTTATTACATTATAGTGATAGAGTTTACAACACATAAGGAAATCACGTCAGATTACACAATTATACAATACTGGGAATCATGACCCAGCCAAGTTGATACGCACATTTTTGGGGGAACATAATTCAATCCATGACAGACATCTTTTATTTTAAAATAAAACACTGATGCAGAAAATCACATTGAACAAATGTAGAGTTTAATAAAGCATTATAAAGCAAACATCCTTGAAACTCACCAAGGTCAAGAACTTTCCTGGCCTCCCCAGAATTCCCTCCATGTGCCCCCATTAAACTCACAGCTCTTCCCACCCTCCAAAAGTGACCACTAGTCTGACAATTCCTTGTGTGTCTTCATATTTTTTTCACCTAAGCGTACATCAACAGACACTATAGCTTAGTCTTACTCTTTAAAAAATATATATGTCTTTAAGTCTCTTTTAATTTACTGATTTTCTCTCCATCCCTTTCTTTTCCTTAAAATTTGCCTGTTGATGGCCCTGGAGTCATTTGAGTTTCCCACAGTCTGGAGTTTCCCACAGTCTGGATATTGCTGATCTCATACTCATGGTGCAGTTCAGCTTGTTCTTCTCTGGATTCAGAAATTCAGAAAAAAACTAATTTCACATAAAAAAAATAGCAAGAAAAAACCTTTGATGTAAAATCCAGACTCAGGTTCCATACCTTTGGCAAGATAGAGGGTGCTGGATTCTTCCACCAGGAGACACATCACACCTGTTGTCATGTGCTGTTAGCAGCAATGGATTTTCAATGTGCCTACATCTATGAATGCATTGGGAGTTACAAAATGATACTATTCTGATGCTCTTTCACATATTAACTATAACACTTCTATAAAAAGATGCTTCCCCCCTTACGTACTATTTGTTAGCCAAGGACTCCTATTATTTGTATGTTGGATCTCCATAGACTATCTTCAATATTTGTCTCTTCATCTTGGATATCTTTATGTCTTTCTTCATTTCTTTCTTCTCCCACTTCCAGATTCATTGTTGTAGTTAGTAGCCATCGAGTTGGCTCCAACTCATGGTAACTTGATGTATAGCAGAGCAAAACATTGCCCAGTCCTGTGCCACTTCATGATTGTTGGTATGTTTGCGCCCATTGTTGTGACTCATGCGTCAATCCATCTCATTGAGGGTTTCCCTTGTTTTTGTTGACCCTCTAGCTTTATCAAACATAGCATCCTTTTCTAGCAATTGATTTTTCCTGATGATCTGTCCAATGTGAAGTCTTGCCATCCTCGCTTCTAAGAAGCATTCTGGTTGTATTTCTTCTAAGACTGATTTGTTCATGATAAACCAAACCCATTGCTATTGAGTCGATTCCAACTTATGGCAACCCTATAGGACAGGACAGAGTAGAACTGCTCCATAGGGTTCCAAGGCCATAATCTTTATGAAAGCAGACCGCCACATCTTTCTCCTGCAGAGCGGCTGGTGGGTTCAAATTGCTGACCTTTTGGTTAGCAGCTGAGCGTGATTAACTACTGCACCACCAGGGCTCATTTTGTTCATCATAGTATGATTTATATATATATAAATATATATAATATATATATATATAAATATGGTGCAGTTTATATATATATATATATATAAATCATACTATGATGAAGAAAATGTATGAATAAAAAGTATGAACTATCATACTACTACTAAACAAAGTTTATATATATATATGTTTAGATATATATAAAAGATATCTAATGTTCTAAAATTAGACAGTGGTGATAGCTGCAAAACTCTTGAATATACTATAAACTACTGAACAAAATGTATATAAACTTTATTAAGTTGTTTTTAGTATATTCAAGAGTTTTACAATTATCACCACTGTCTAATTTTAGAATATTTTCATCACCACCCCCCAACAAAAATAAAACAAAAAACTCCATACCCATTAGCAATCACTCATCATTTCTTAGATTCTTTTTGATTTAAAAAATTTCCACCTCTCTGCTTTCTGTTTTTCTTGAGGCATTATTTGTTGTAT